TCATTATTAGCGGAAGAAGCATCTGGATCCCCTGTTCTTCCCCTTCTCTCTTACGCTAGCTCAGTTAGAATCTCAAAGGACAGCCCCATTCAAAGAGAGCAGAGAAAACACGGCTGAGCCAACTGTTTATCTGCCTGGGAGAGCAGGGCCACAGGCTACCTGACTGAGATAACTCCCATATCTATGCCAACTCCAAGGAGAGAGTCTTACAGAGCCTATAGGACTTCAGGCCGATGCTAGATGAACGTCTATCTGTCTTGATGGAGGAACCACTGAACTCCAATGAATAAATGTCATTTCTAATAAATCTTCAATACAACTTGCTTTATGGTTGTAAGTTAAGTAAAAGAGTAAATAACATAAAACCTCCAGGGCTCTCAGATGATCATTCAAGGAGACAGAAATTAGATAAACATTGAAAAACACAAACCTCTGAGATACAGATCATTGCTTGAAAAGTGTCTTGCCTACTACTTACTAAAACTACATGCTGTGTGATGATCGCACAACAGTATTTAGAATGCAGTAAGTAACAAATATCAACATACTAGGCTCACCCATCCTGAGAATGTGTCATCTAATTCACAATTGCATTGAGTCCAATTATGGAAAAACCACATGAATATCACGTGATAACAAATGCCATTTTGCAAATGCTTTTATACAAAGCGACTTACAGTAATGCGTGCATACATTTTACGTATGGGTGGTCCCTGGAATCGAACCCACTACCCTGGCATTACAAGCACCATGCTCTCCCAACTGAACTACAAAGAACCACGTGATTTTATGTGAAGTTAATGTGATAACATGTGTGAGCACCTGAAAACGTGCTCTCATGTGAAATAAATGAGACAACATGGGCATGTAACATTTTTACATGTGATACCATGAAACTATACGTGAAAACATTAGAGCATGTGAAAACACAGGTATCAAATGTCATTGAGAATATTTAACTTAAAATGCATAATTGACTTGAATTCAATTTAAACAGTCATGGTCCCCTGCAGGCTTTGTCTAGTTCCCAATTGGTTCCAGGGACGCCCACAAGAACGTTTTTAGAACGTTGTGTCATGGTCCCCTGGATTACTTGGGACTCAACTTCTATTGGGATTTGTACTCACAACCTCTTGGTTGCTAAGTACCTAAAGTTCCTGTTGCGCCAACAGGTCTGTTGACATAATGGAGATTGGCTCTCCATACACTACATGACGAAAAGTATGTGGACACCTTCTCGTCGAACATCTCATTCCAAAATCAAGGGCATTAATATGGAGTTGGTCCCTCCTTTGCTGCTATAACAGCCTCCACTCTTCTGGGAAGGCTTTCCACTAGATGTTGGGACATTGTTGCGGGACTTGCTTCCATTCAGCCACAAGAACATTAGTGAGGTCGGGCACTGATGTTGGGCGATTAGGTCTGGCTCATAGTCAGCGTTTCAATTCATCCCAAAGGTGTTCGATGGGGTTGAGGTCAGGGATCTTTGCATGCCAGTCAAGTTCTTACACACCAATCTCGACAAACCATTTCAATATGGACCTCGCTTTGTGCATGTGGGCATTGTCATGTTGAAACAGGAAAGGGCCTTCCAAAAACTGTTGCCACAAAGTTGTAAGCACAGAATTGTCTAGAATGTCATTGTATGCTGTAGTGTTAAGATGTCCCTTCACTGGAACTAAGGAGCCTAGCCTGAACCATGAAAAACAGCCCCAGACCATTATTTCTCCTCCACCATGATTAGCTGTTCAGGAGTCTTATGGCTTGGGGGTAGAAGCTGTTGAGAAGCCTTTTGGACCTAGACTTGGCACTCCGGTACCGCTTGCCGTGCGGTAGCAGAGAGAACAGTCTATGACTAGGGTGGCTGGAGTCTTTGACAATTTTGAGGGCCTTCCTCTGACACCGCCTGGTATAGAGGTCCTGGATGGCAGGAAGCTTGGCCCCTGTGATGTACTGGGCTGTACGCACTACCCTCTGTAGTGCCTTGTGGTCGGAGGCCGAGCAGTTGCCATACCAGGCGGTGATGCAACCAGTCAGGATGCTCTCGATGGTGCAGCTGCTGAACATTTTTGAGGATCTGAGGACCCATGCCAAATCTTTTCAGTCTCTTGAGGGGGAATAGGCTTTGTTGTGCCCTCTTCATGACGGTCTTGGTGTGTTTGGACAATGATAGTTCGTTGGTGATGTGGACACCAAGGAACTTGAAGCTCTCAACGTGTTCCACTACAGCCCTGTCGATGAGAATGGGGACGTGCTCAGTCCTATTTTTTTTTCCTTTAGTCCACAATCATCTCCTTTGTCTTGGTCACGTTGAGGGAGAGGTTGCTATCCTGGCACCACACGGCCAGGTCTCTGACCTCCTCCCTATAGGCTGTCACATCATTGTCGGTGATCAGGCCTACCACTGTTGTGTCGTCGGAAAACTTAATGATGGTGTTGGAGTCGTGCCTGGCCATGCAGTCATGGGTGAACAGGGAGTACAGGAGGGGACTGACCACCCCTGAGGGGCCCCCATGTTGAGGATCAGCATGGCAGATGTGTTGTTACCTACCCTTACCACCTGGGGGCGACCCGTCAGGAAGTCCAGGATCCAGTTGCAGAGGGAGGTGTTTAGTCCCAGGATCCTTAGCTTAGTGATGAGCTTTGGGGCGCTATGGTGTTGAACGCTGAGCTGTAGTCAATTAATCGCATTCTCACATAGGTGTTCCTCTTGTCCAAGTGGGAAAGGGCAGTGTGGAGTGCAATAGAGATTGCATCATCTGTGGATCTATTGGGGTGGTATGCAAATTGGAGTGGGTCTAGGGTTTCTGGGATAATGGTGTTGATGTGAGCCATGACCAGCCTTTCAAAGCACTTCATGGCTACAGACGTCAGTGCTACGGGTCGGTAGTCATTTAGGCAGGTTATCTTAGTGTCCTTGGGCACGGGGACTATGGTGGTCTGCTTGAAACATGTTGGTATTACAGACTCAGTCAGGGACATGTTGAAAATGTCGGTGAAGACACTTGCCAGTTGGTCAGCACATGCTCGGAGAGCGTGATCACATAGTCATCCGGAACAGCTGGTGCTCTCATGCATGCTTCAGTGTTGCTTGCCTTGAAACGAGCATAGAAGTGGTTTAGCTCGTCTGGTAGGGTTGTGTCACTGGGCAGCTTGCGGCTGTGCTTTTATTTGTAGTCTGTAATAGTTTTCAAGCCCTGCCACATCCGATGAGCATCAGAGCCGGTGTAGTACGATTCAATCTTAGTCCTGTATTGACTCTTTGCCTGTTTAATGGTTCGTCGGAGGGCATAGCAGGATTTCTTATAAGCGTCCGGGTTAGAGTCCTGCTCCTTGAAAGCGGCACTTCTACCTTTTAGCTCAGTGCGGATGTTGCCTGTAATCCATGGCTTCTGGTTGGGGTATGTACGTACGGTCACTGTGGGGACGACGTCATCGATGCACTTATTGATGAAGCCAGTGACTCATGTGGTGTACTCCTCAATGCTATCTGAAGAATCCCGGAACATGTTCCAGTATGTGCTAGCAAAACAGTCCTGTAGCTTAGCATCTGCGTCATCTGACCACTTTTTTATTAACCAAGTCACTGGTTCTTCCTGGTTTAGTTTTTGCTTATAAGCAGGAATCAGGAGGATAGAGTTATGGTCAGATTTGCCAAATGGAGGGTGAAGGAGAGCTTTGTATGCGTCTCTGTGTGTGGAGTAAAGGTAGTCTAGAGTTTTTTTTCTTCCACTGGTTGCACATTTAACATGCTGGTAGAAATTAGGTAGAACGGATTTAAGTTTCCCTGCATTAAAGTCCCTGGCCACTAGGAACACTGCCTCTGGATGAGCGTTTTCCTTTTTAGTTATGGCCTTATACAGCTCATTGAGTGCAATCTTAATGCCAGCATTGGTTTGTGGTGGTAAATAGACAGCTATGAAAAATATAGATGAAAACTCTCTTGGTAAATAGTGTGGTCTACAGCTTATCATAAGATACTCTCCCTCAGGCGAGCAAAACCTCGAGACTTCCTTAGTATTTGATTTTGTGCACCAGCTGTTGTTTGCAAATATACACAGACTGCCACCCCTTGTCTTGCCGGAGTCAGCCGTTCTATCCTGCCGATGTAACGTATAGCCCGCTAGCTGTATGTTGTCCATGTCGTCGTTCAGCCACGACTCGGTGAAACATAAGATATTACAGTTTTTAATGTCCCGTTGGTAGGATAACCGTAATCTTAGGTCATCCAATTTATTTTCAAATGATTGAAGATTGGCTAATAGGATTGATGGAAGATGCAGTTTACTCGCTCGCCGTCGGATCCTTACAAGGCACCCCGACCTACGTCCACGATATCTCTGTCTCTTTCTCCTGCGAATGACGGGGATTTGGGCCTTGTCGGGTGTCTGTAGGATATCCTTCACGTCCAACTCGTTGAAGAAAAAATCTTCGTCCAATACGAGGTGAGTAATTGCTGTCCTGATATCCAGAAGGTATTTTTGGTTATAAGAGACGATGGCAGAAACATTATGTACAGAATACATAATAAATAACGCGTAAAAACACACATAATAGTACAATTCGTTAGAGGGCTGTAAAACGACAGCCATCTTCTCCGGCGCCACACACACATTACTACACACGTGAGTCTGGAAAGACGATTCTCCTCCTCACAATTGTGTAGCGAATTCTTCTAGATGAAAAGCCAAAATTAGTATAACATCCTGCATTTAAAGCATACATAAGTTTCGAAATGTCACATACTATCAAAGTTTGTAGTTATCAGTTGTGTCCTAACTGTCCTTAGCAGTAATATCACTTTTTGGAGAACACAAGCATGCATGTACAGTTGCGGGCACTTGTGAAAAACTATCCACATCAAACGCTAGAGTGCCGTGATGCACATTCATTGCAGCAATTGTTCTGCCAATGCCATGTCACTACCTAACATTTTAGCCCACAATTACCGCCTATTAGCAGATCAGAAATCATGCACCCACGTGGCGGTGTATTTACCTCTTGAAGAACAGGATGGCGATGACAATGATGATGATGAGTACGACGGCTAGGACAGGGCCCATGACCCACAGCATCTCTGGGTCCTCAGCATGGAGGGACATACCGCTGTGGAGCTTCACTGTGATGGGGTCCGAGTACGGGCTGGCCGCAAACGTCTTCTGCAGCAGGAGGGAAAATGGAGGAGGAAGAAAGTCAGGAGGTGGACACCACACAGCAACCGCTGTTCAGTATGGAGAGGCTTTATAGTTTGGTTGAGGCTGAACACCACTTTATTAACCTTGAGACCTGTGTAGTCTCAAGCCTGTTTGAATACTTTAGGTCTCTATGCTCTTACGTCTTATCCCTTGTCTAACCCAGTGCCTGATGGAAAGTCAGCGGCTGATAGAGCCTACCATCAGCCAGGCGTTTGAAAACATGGTGCTACCTCAACATGATGCTACCTTAGCCCTTAGTCCTATACAGAGTTCTTTATAGCTTTGCCTTAGCCCGTACATGGTGTCTGATGGAGCCTAACATCAGCCAGGCATCTGGTGAAGGAGAGAGAGGCGTATTTATAGCTAGCTCCATTCTTTAATAGAGTGAAACTTCCCCAGCCTGTCAGCCAGAACACAAAGTGACAACAAGTGCAGTTACTTTAAGCGAATTATGCCTTGCAAATTGATCCATTTAACTTTATTATGTGACACCAGCATCATGCCAAGCCGTATCCGTTGTACCCAGCCTCTCTGCAAATAACTTGATGAAAAGGGGATCTGTGGTAGAGACACAGGGAGAGAGAGAGAGAGAGAGAGAGAGAGAGAGAGAGAGAGAGAGAGAGAGAGAGAGAGAGAGAGAGAGAGAGAGAGAGAGAGAGAGAGAGAGAGAGAGAGAGAGAGAGAGAGAGAGAGAGAGTAGTTGTTGCCTTCTTTGGAAATGTATGACAGAACTCCTTTTTTAATGGGGTTTTAATTGCCTTTTTAAATGATAAAAACATTAACTGGTGCTGACAAAGACGTTTATTCCAATTGCCGTAGAAACAAATAGAGCACTGCAGTCACTACATATGCCTGCTTACTGTGGTGGCACAGAGGCAGGCCTGGAGAGAGGTATAGGCCTACTGTAGCCTAAGTGCTGATGCAGATGAAGCTACTACTAAACACACTCAGAGAGTAGTACACATATGCTACGAGCAGATAAACAAACTCCAGATCCTGCCCTGTATCAGCAATCACCCACTCACAACTGCTCCATGGTAGTTAAGTCTGTCCCCCTCCCCTCGCTCTGCTCTGCCCCTGACCATTAGTTATTTTCAGCCTGTGTTGCTCTCTTCGTCTGCTCTTCCCCTCTACCCCTGCCATGTCAATTAGTGAGACTGTGATATACTGTAGCTTAATGACGCCAGTGAGACAGGGTTGGCCCCGGGATCTCTGCTGGCTTCCAGAAGGCGTGATAAAAGTTGTCGCCTTTATCGGATTTGTTCTCAGTGGCCGCTGATGAGTATCCTCCCCTGCACTAGTCACCCTCCCTGGACACAGAAAGGACTATGCACAATGACCGAGTCTACTCCTCCATCAATATCTCTCTCTCTACCTCTCTCTCTACCTTTTTCTCTACCTGTCTCTCTACCTGTCCCATTTGCAGCCCCTTCGCTGTTAAGACATGTTACTACAATTATTAGGCCTCTGTGTTCGCAGGAGGATGCTCTCTCAACAGCAACATGGCACATGGAGGATAGAGAGCGGATCGACCTGTTCTCATGTTTAATAACTGGCAGTGGAAATCCCAACCACTTTCACTGAGGCCATGCCTCCAGGTCTACATGTGGCTAGCATTGGTCAGGCCCAGTTAAGGATGAGGAAGGGAGTACTCAAAATAAGAGTTACTGTAGAGTCTTCTGAATATTTCACCACAGAATAAATTGATGTCTGGAAATGAAATATTGAAAATATGCATCTGATATTGATGCAGATGGTTGCGGTCATATCCTGCATAAATGAAGGACTTAGAAGGGCCAAAAGGCTTTGCACACAAAGGTTCACTTCTCAAGGTCAAAAGATCATGGTGCATCCCAGATTCTGATACCTTCTGAGAAAGACCTGGGGTCATGATCTACTCAATGACAGAAACAGCCATGAATATCCTGACATCTCTGAGAACTGTTCATGTTGAGCTCATTTCTCTGCTTCCTCTTTCTCTCTCCCTCTGTCTCGGTCTCTCTATTTCTCTCTCTCTCTCTCTCTCATTTTCTTTACTCTCTATCTCCCAGGCTCCTCTCTATCTTCTCCATAGCTCATTCTTGTACTTTTGGCAAAGTGCAGCAGGCAGTGCAGCACAAAACCTTCTTTGAAAAATGGCAGCAGTCACGCCTCTTAGACACAGTGGATGGAAGCCCAAACAAAAGAGGACGTTTAGATATTCTCAGAGAAGGGATAAACTTTGGGAGTGATCAATTTGAGAAGTACAATCTGATAGAAACACATCCCATAGAGTGAGTGAATAATTTACTGCCAGGGCCTCCACATTTACAAATGCTGCATGGGAATGCTGCATATTGGAGAGATAATAAAGTGAGAGAAAAGCAGAGCTGATGCGAGAAAGGGAAGGAGAGAAGACTGAGGAGTGCATAGGGTAAATATAGTCTTATTTTTTCCATTGTTTCTCCCATAATTATACTTCCCACTGGGCAAACCACATAATTTAAACATAGAAATGTGGGTAATATTTGGTTGAGATGTTGATCAATGAGATTTCAACCTAGAGTATGTATATTCAACCACTCAAAAAGACAGCCAGAAGTTTGTTGAATTCCCAATGTGTAATCACTATACTTTCAACCAGCTAAAAGCAAAACCAAATTCCAATGGAAGAATAATGTCCGATTTTTTGTTTAGTTGTCATGTAAATGTGTGTGAGATGTATACTTTTGTTTCAAAGTAGATTTGTTTAAGACTACCAAGAAACACTGTGTGACCCTGATTTAGCCCACTGCAGTAAAAGGTTAAGAGGTCTCTCAATAATCATTCTCACGATAGCACATTGGTAGTAGTAAGTGATACAGAGCTTGGGACTATTTTTGTCAAAATGCAGTAATTGACATAGCCTTGTTATTGACATAGTGCCACTTGCGTCATGACTGCACCAGTAAGGACCAGAGAAATTCATGTTAATCACTCACCACGTTAGGTCATCAGATGGTCCAATAAAATATGTCTCTGCAAAAACAAATAAATGCTAGCTAGCTAAGTTTGTCCTTGTTGGATCTGCGTTTACAATGTATCCAATTTCGGTTTGTGTGGTTGTTGGTTGAGCTTTCTGTAACTTCGTAGTAAGTACGGTCTGCATGTGTAGGCGCTTATTGCGTCATGATTGCAAGGTGTCCCGATATCTTTTCCAACTGTCCTGATTTATTTTCCAACTGTCCCGTTATCTGGTTTTAATGTCTATTTTAGAATGCCCTTCTAGCCAATCAGAAACTAGTATTCACCAACGCTGCGGTATAAAGTACTCTAAATACCCCAATTCATGTTGATAAGTTCAAAAGAATATAATATATAATTTGCTGACACAAACAAATGAGGGTTCGGAACTTTGAAAGACATTTATCTCAGAATCATCTTTTTGCAGATAGATCCTTATAGTCATTGGCAATGAGAGGAGATCGGTGTAGCATTAAACACTAACATGATGATTTAACATATTGACAACGATCCCCTCCGGGTGTGTCTGAGGTGAGGACAGAGCTGCAGGCCCCCCCACTCCCCACTCCCTTAATCCCCAGGCTACGACCTCTCGCTCTCTGTCTCTCTGTCTTTCTCTTTCATTCTGTCTCTCGCCCGCTCTTTCAATCTGTCTCTTTCTCTATTTGTCTCTTTCCATCTCCCTATTTTCATTGTGTCTCTGTCTCTCTGCCTCCCTCTGTGTCATTTAAACAGCTCTCGCTTTTTCATCCATAAAATCTCCCCATAAAAAAAAAGAAAATCTCATCCATAAAACTTTTACTGCGTTTCTCTTCTATCTTAGTACTGTATATTATTTCCCCAAGGCTCCCTCTACCACTCTCTCTTCCTCCATCAGACTTATCGCTCTCTCTCTCTGTACCTCTCACTCTTTTCACCCCTCCATAAATCCCATACGGTTCTCTCCAGTCCCCTCTGATGAAACTGACACCCTTTCTCTCTAATGCGCCCTCTCCTCGTCCCTCTCTCCATATCTCCCTCTCTTCCCTGCTGTAAGTGATCACACTGTTTATATGGCTTGTTTCTTTTATCCAATTTCACACTTCCAGGCATATTTACCAGCCAAGGGAGCCACATAAAGCTGCAGTACCCTTTTGCTCCAGTCCCCTGCCTCCCTCCATCCTCCTCTCCTTCCTCCATCCTGCCATCAACCCCCCCTCCTTCCCCCTCCTCTCTCCTCTCCCTCTCTATCCGCCCTGCCACCAACCCTGCCATAACTAAAGAGCTGAGCTCACTTCCCTGTTTTCCCATGAATGTGATTAGCCTGCTATGTTCTCTGGCCAGGCTTGATTTAGATTCAACAATAATTCAATTTACTGGGTCACAGATCTGTAATGTGTCTGTCTGTCACTCTGCTAAAGAGAAATAACTATGTTCTAGCTCAACACAACACAATACAGAACTCCACTTTCTCTCCACAATGTATTGCTTACCAAAAGATGGAAGATAGATATAGCAATGGGCTGGCACTGTCGAGAGTTGGTGCTCCAATGGTTGTAAAACAGATTTATGCTTTAAAAAAAGTATTTTATCAACCATCCCATCATTTCCACATGCAGTATACATACAGTAAATATATACAGTAAATAGGGGAAACATGTTTTGAGGCTGAGGAGCTGTCTGAACTAATGCAGTGAAGACCAAGGACACCAGTGAGTGTATCTTCTGAAGAGGAAACCAGTTACTGTCACACTGAGTAGTTTCTCAGAGTTTCTCTGTGACACGTGCACAAGTAACCATGACTCACTACACAGACGTGAGTCATGCAGTGCTGCTGCTTCGTGCAGCTAGCGGCGTGGCGACCCCAGCGTGAGCGTTGGCTCATCTGTTACTTAGCTAGCTCACTGAGAGACAAGAGGAATATCACAAAAAACACAAGTGACTGTATTAAAATAAAATAATAGTGAGGCTGCACTGTGTAGAATAGGCATGGCAGACTCAAAGGGCATTTACAGTATATGACATATGCTTACTGTTGTACTAACAGTATTAGTATTTTAAGTTTGATTCTACATTGGATGTACATGTATCTCAGGGATGGTAATAGTGTTTGGAAGTTGTGTTTGTGACAGGACTACAGTATCTATAGATAAGGAGAAGTGGCTGTTTCACTTACAGACTCGTGGTCTTTGAGGGCAGCCAGTACGAAACAGAGGTACTGCTGCTGGCCGTGTAGAGGCTTGTTGTAGAAGCCATTGTACTTCTTCTCGTCTCCTAGAGGGAAGGTGTCTGGCAGAGCATCCATCTTGGCAGCAATGTAGGGTCTGAGGAACTCTTGGGTCTGTCTCCTCCTCAGGCTCTGGTCAGAACTAGCCTCCAGGAGCTGACATGACATCACAGAGAGAGATACTTATCTGCGTCCCAAATAGCACCATTCTGTATGTGCACTATGTAGGAAATAGGGTGCCAATTGGAGCGAAGACTCAAAGATACACAATCTCCTACCATTGTGGATTTGAGCAAGGTGCTTAACCCCAAACTGGACAAATAACTTTATTATCTATGTTTTTATTGTATAGAAACTATATAGTCAGCAATATAAAGCACACATACTGTTCACATCAAATAAATATATGCTCATAAACTGCGCCCATAGGCTACAATGAATTGTGCTTCTAGGCTCACAGGTGGGTTAAAATATCATACTGCAAATGAAGCATAGAGTAATTAAAGTTTTATAACATCTTGGTCCTATAACACAATTGTTTCTGTGTGTGTATGTCCCTGTCTGTGTGAATGAGGTATCATTAATTCACTCCCTCTGATGGAGAGAGGGGGTAGGTAGATGTGTGTCTGTAGATTGTTTGACTAATCTCTTCTCCACCTGCCTCTTCAGTGAGCATCATACTCTGTCTATCTGTCTCTACCTGTCTCTGTCTGTTGATCCGCTTCTGTCACAACTCTACCAGGGTCTACTGCACTGTAAGCACTTAATGGTCAAGGTAGCAAACAGTATTCAAAGAGAATGTCTGAGGTATTCTACAGTTCTACTGATTCCTATAAAGTCAACATGACATTTTTATGTAAACCATCGCTATAACCTTGTTACTCTTCTCCGCTCTTCAATACAACTTTAACCAACCCACACAGTTTCTCTAGTCTATAAAACTGCAGCAATGGCAATTATTTAGAAAAAAAAAGGCTTTGACAATGACAAAGCAGATCTTGCTGTCTCAAAGATGCTTTGGATGCAGGCATATTTATTTAACACACTCTATGGTTTTTGGATATTCAAGAGGCTGCACTTTTTCAGCAGACGACAGTAGATTAAGAGAAAGCAAACTCACGAGAAAGCATAAGAAGGTATTGAAGCCCAAATGGTCCACATTAATAAAACAAAGCAAAAAAATGCTAAGAGCAGCTTTTTAGGAGTGTTTTAAGTGCCTCAAACACTCAGGAGAAGCAAAACTTGAAATTAAAAATAAAAAGCGTATTTGTTTAAATGGAAATCACCATCTTGCACCGCAAAGACAGACTGTTAAGGGCAAAAAGGGCATTTCACATGTGTAGTGAAAGCTGAGAATTCTGTAATCAACGATTCACAGCATGATCTGTCGATATTGTCTTGTTCTTTTTTTTGGCAGAGACAAAGGATATGAGATGTTTTAAAGATGCTTTATATTTAATGGGCTTGGAAGAAAGTGCTTTTTTTGGTCTGTGCCCAGAGGAGGTGCTGTTGACGCACGCAAGCATACACATGCACTCACTCACTCACCTCATCCAAGTCCATATCTTCAGGGTTCTCCCACCTGCGTAGTGTGGCTGGTGTGACAGGAACCACCACTATGTAGTAATATCTGTAGAGAGAGACAATCAGGTTGAGTACGACCAGGGTGTGTGTGTGTGCGTGTGCGTGTGGTCCTTTTGGGTTCCAAAATTTGACAAGTGGGGACATTTCAACCGGTTCCCAAAAGGAAAAATGCTATTTTAGGCTTAGGGGTTAGGTTTAGGGTTAGGGTTAAAAATTAGGGTTAGGGATAGAATTAGGGTTAGGGGTTAGGATTAGGAGTTAGAGGTTAAGGTTAAGGTTAGGGTTTGGGAAAATAGCATTTTGAATGAGAATAAATGTTTTGGTGTGTGTGTGTGTGATGGACTGAGTGAGTGAATGAGTGAGTGAGAATGAGTGTGCGTGCATGGGTGCATGGGTGCATACATGTGTGTGTAACAAGGTGTCCCTTTTGGTAAGCCTGAGCATATCTCAGATATCTGTATTGTCATAACATGCAGGCTCTGCTAAGGCCTCAATCCATCCTCCACAGCCAGAAGTACTCAAACATAGATATGTAGTCTCTCATACCAGATAATGAATCCTCTGATAGGCAAACACATGTATGCTTTGCAAACACATGCCCCCCTCTGATGAGTCAACATCTTTGCCCTGTTAAACCCATGTAGTTAACTTCTGTCACCAGAGGAATAGTGGGATAAGTTTGGCTTTGGCTCTGATGTTTACTCTTGCTCTTGTGTGTGTGTGTGTGTGTGTGTGTGTGTGCATGAGTGTATGTGTATGTGTGTGTATGTGTATGTCTGCCTTTGTGTGAGCGTGTGTCTGGCTCTAATCCAGAGTGTGATGAAAAGGTCTAGCCAGGGCATTAAGATACTGATTGTATTGCTAAATTAGTTTTCTTTTTTTAACACTCCTGCTGGCGCTGCTTATTACGGCTTAGATGTTCCCAGTTTCTTTTTAGAAACAAACACTTGAGTCCAAGTAATTCGCAAGTCTGTCTGCCCGAGTAGTAGGGGTAAAAAAAAGTACCTTGTCTGAAATTGCAGGTTCTGCATTGTGCCCCAGATGTTCTATTAGTTATCATTTGAAGCCAACTCTAGAAGAAATTGCTTTATGCTGTATTGGGAAAGGAGCATAGAGCTACAGTAAATATGTGTCTTACTAGCACAGATTTTTTAGATAGATGCAATTTTTAAAGGTTTTTACTAGTAATGATTGTAGGACAGCAGGCTGGCTTGGGACAAAGCCAGACTTATCCCTAATAGTGTTCTCTCTCTACTGCTCTAACACTGAAACTAAATGTGAAAATAACAAGGCAGTTATGAACTGCTCACATTAAAAAATACTACAGTTTACTATAGAATACTACAGTACTTCCTATAGAATTAAATAGTCAAATGTAGCATACTGTAGAATACAAATATTACACACTGTAGTATTCCTCGATCATGTGTAGTACTTACTATAGAATGTTGTAGTATCCTGTAGAATACTACAGTGAATAGTACAGTATTATTCACAACAACAAAAAAACACTATTAAATACTACAGTAAAGTCGACAAAAACACTACACTTTAACTATAGTAAATACTACAGTATTTAATTTGCATATGCCCTGACCATTCCCCTCGCCCATATCGCAATTTGTGCCACCCATAAGTGAAAAACCTAAATGCCAAGTATAGACCATACAGTATATTGTGTTCCCTACAGGTTATAGAAAAGAGCATAAACTTTGAACTCTCTGTTCAGACTGACCGGTTATGGAAAACGTGCTTTTTTAGTATTTCTCCAGTAGGTTTCTTGAAGAAGAAACACTATAGTAAATACTGCAGTAATATAGTCAATAAAACTATAGTAAATACTACAGTAAATACTACAGTAAAGTCAGCAAAAACACCACAGTAAATACTACAGTAAAGTCAGCAAAAACACTAGTATTTATGCCGTAGTGTAGTATACTATAGAATTGTTTCATGTTGGTGTGTAGAAGAGTGGGACGTATATAAAGGCACTGGAGTTGTTCTCCAACCAGGCGGCCCTGGAGGACACAGCTTGTGTGTGTGTGTGTGTGTGTGTATGCGTGCGTGCGTGCGTCCAGATCCTCATCCTCCAAGTATCCTTCATCCTCCTCGTGCTCGTCTGAGGCTATCGATTTAGCATTAGCATGGAAAGCCATGTTTTCTGTGTGTCTGGTGAGGAAGGCCTTCTGGACCTAAAGTCCAGCCAGCTCAGCCTCTTTAGCCTCTGTTGTGCATCATCCTCTCTCTGTCCAAATCCTCTCTCAGCTCCTTTAGGTGCTGGGTGTTACTTTTAACAGTATAGCTCTGGGAAATATGGCCTCCAGCCAGATAGATGAATAGATGAAGTTACACAACTTCCACCAAGACAACATACAGTAGCAACACTTCACAAATCATTTTCTATCCCCTGCTGTTCTTAAGGAGATAGTTGTGATACAACTATAGTAAGCACAGGATGCGGTGGATAATACTAGTAGTGGCACCAATAAATATTACTAATAGGCATAGGGATTGAGAAAGCCATCTTGTATACAGTGGGCTCAGATAGCGGTCCACGACTAAGGAACAATCGCCCCCAGGTTCCCAGTTAGACGAATAGTGACATAGCAGGAGTAACACATTTATAACCATGCCACAATGCAGAAACACCAGCATTGAACAGGAAGGAAGGTGGTTATAGCCTTAGTATTGCAGTGAGAGTGATGGTGATAGTGACAGTAACAGCCACAGTGTTTATGGTACAGACCTGACAGGGGCGGTGGTGGGGACTTTGGGCAGGGTGATGGTGAGCTTGTCCCCCTCCTCTGGGTCGTGTTGGTATTGGATGGGTTTGGTCTTGAGCAGGTCCGGGGCGGTCCTGATGGAGACCTGCTGCTGTAGACCCCCAGCACTGTTCCCTCTAGACATCAACACAAAGCTGTAGTCTGTGTCTGGCTGCAGCCTCGTGATCAGCTTCCTCTTCAGGTTCCCCTGCACCTCCACACTCTGCTGGTTGTACAGGATCTAGATAGACACACAGAGAGGAGTGCTTAGCGCCATACACACACACAGACACAAAGACACAGAGACACGCGGGCACGCACACACACACACTCTACTGGTAATACAGGACCGGACCAACAATTATTTGCACACAGACAACATCGTGGTCATACAATGAAGTCTCTATCATATTCATTGGCAATTACAAACCTTTATTGAATGGATATAGAGAGTGAAGTACAATTATAATATTCCACAAAATATTGAACACAAGCTGGGTTATTTTGACCCAGCCAGTTGGCTTGTATGAATAACCCAACAAGTTGGGTTGTCAGGATTACCCAAACATAGATTAATTTAACCATCAATTGGGATTTTTTTTACTCTCATGCTGGGTTGACCTAGCAGCTGGGTCTTTTTTAACGTAATCCTTAGGTTATTTTTCAGGAGGCGTGGCTTATTATGAGCAGGGCTTTCAACTAGATCGTATTGGCACCAGTGAGAGTAAATGTAATTCCTGTTCATCATGTTAAGTTTACATACTTCATATTTTAGGATGAGATACCCTTAAGATGTCAAAAACTCTCTGTTGCTTACTGGGCATCACTAAAAGGACATTCCTCCACTCACAAGGGGAAGTCCATCCTGGAGGATTGCTAGGAATACTCAACCCCCATAAAGGTAATTTGATGTAAGATCAAAAAATGGGCCCATGACTTAGGGGTGAAGGAGACCTATGTGGGACCAACATAGGCCTCCTTGGGGGTGTCTCAGGATTCAACACAAAGCCATAACAGTTCATTTTCTTTGGGTCCCGGCTCACGTGGGGTATGGATGGGCATGGGTAATCGTGTACACAAGTACTTGAACAGACGTCAAAACTTAATCTTTAACCAGAGATCAATTTTTTTTCAAATACTATAAAACTATTTGTTTGTTGTCTTGAAGACAATGTTCATTTCCTTTGACTCTAGTGTTCCATTTGTACATGCCACAGGAGGTTGGTGGCAACTTAATTGGGGAGGACGGCTTGTGTTAATAGCTGGAGCTGAACCAATGGAATGGTATCAAATACATCAAACAAATGGTTTAAAGCCATTCCATTTGCTCTGTTCCAGACATTATTATGAGCCATCCTCCCCTCTGCAGCCTCCACTGGTACATGTGCATTTGCGAGACACAACAAAAAATAAACCAAGCCAAGCATCACACAGTTCTGCTCCCTAAATTCCCTTTCCCCTCAATGTCTCACTCACTCAATTGCATTCCAACCGCTCCCTCTACACATGCGTGCTGTGTGAGCCAACAGAAAATAATTAATTTATGGTTAGGGTTAGGCATAAGGTTAACGGTGTGGTTAACGTTAGGGTTAAGGGTTAGGTTTCAAATTATATTTTAAGAATCGAAACTGTAGAAAAAGGCAGGGTTTATGACTTTGTACAGTTGAAGTCAGAAGTTTACATACACTTAGGTTGGAGTCATTAAAACTCGTTTTTTAACCACTACACACATTTCTTGTTAACAAACTATAGTTTTGGCAAGTCGGTTAGGACATCCACTTTGTGCATGACACAAGTAATTTTTCCAACAATTGTTTACAGAAAGATTATTTCACTTATAATTCACTGTATCACAATTCCAGTGGGTCAGAAGTTTACATACACTAAATTGACTGTGCCTTTAAACAGCTTGGAAAATTCCAGAATATGATGTCATGGCTTTAGAAGCTTCTGATAGGCTAATTGACATAATTTGAGTCAATTGGAGGTGTACCTGTGGATGTATTTCAAGGCCTACCTTCAAACTCAGTGCCTCTTTGCTTGACATCATGGGGAAATCAAAAGAAATCAGCCAAGACCTCAGAAAAAAAAATGTAGACCTCCACAAGTCTGATTCATCCTTGGGAGCAATTTCCAAATGCCTGAAGGTACCACTTTCATCTGTACAAACAATAGTATGCAAGTATAAACACCATGGGAACACGCAGCTGTCATACTGCTCAGGAAGGAGATGCGTTCTGTCTCCTAGAGATTAACGTACTTTGGTGTGAAAAGTGCAAATCAATCCTAGAACAACAGCAAAGGACCTTGTGAAGATGCTGGAGGAAACTGGTACAAAAGTGTCTATATCCACAGTAAAACGAGTCCTATATTGACATAACCTGAAAGGCCGCTCAGCAAGGAAGAAGCCACTGCTCCAAAACCGCCATAAAAAAGCCAGACTACGGTTTGCAACTGCACATGGGGACAAAGATCGTACTTTTTGGAGAAATGTTCTCTGGACTGATGAAACAAAAATAGAGCTGTTTGGCCATAATGACCATCGTTATGTTTGGAGGAAAAAGTGGAATCCTTGCAAGCCGAAGAACACCATCCCAACCATGAAGCACGGGGGTGGCAGCATCATGCTGTGGGGGTGCTTTGCTGCAGGAGGGATTGGTGCACTTCACAAAATAAATGGCATCATGAGGAAAGACAATTATGTGGATATATTGAAGCAACATCTCAAGACATCAGTTAGGAAGTTGTCACGATCGTCAGGGAGAGACCAATGCGCAGCGTGTTGAACGAACATAGTGAACTTTATTATCTTTAGTGATAATCGACACAATAAACAAAACAAGAAACGACTCGTGAAGTCCACGGTAACAATGACCGAACACGGAACAAGAACCCACAAACACAAAGGGAAAATAGACAGTATAAATATGGCTCCCAATCAGAGACAACCAACGACAGCTGACACTCGTTGCCTCTGATTGGGAGTCACTCTAGCCAACATAGAAATAAACACAACAGAATTACCAACATAGAATTAAACACATAGAATGAACACACCCTGGCTCAACATATAGAGTCCCAGAGCCAGGGTGTGACAGTACCCCCCCCTAAAGGCGCGGACTGCGACCACGCCTCAACTTGAACAAAACAGGGGAGGGCTGGGCGGGCATACCTCCTCGGCGGCGGTTCTGGCTCCGGCCTTGACCACCACCCTCCAATAAACCCCCCATAGCGCCCCTGGTCCAGTCTGGCCCCGCCGGCTGGAGCTGAACTGGACTTAGCAGGAGCGGTTAGCTTCAGCTCCATAGTGGAGCAGTTGACCGGTACCTTCCCAGGCACCGGTGACCCAGGCACGGGTTGTGCTGGACTGACGACGCGCACCCCTGGCTTGGTGCGTGGAGGAGGAACGGGCCTTACCAGGCTGACGACTCGCACCCCTGGCTTAGTGCGTGGAGGAGGGACGGGCCTTACCAGGCTGACGACTCGCACCCCTGGCTTGGTGCGAGTAGCAGGAACAGGCCGGGCCGGGCTGACGACGCGCACCGTAGACTTGGTGCGAGTGGCAGGAACAGGCCGGGCCGGGCTGGCGACGCGCACCGTAGACTTGGTGCGAGTGGCAGGAACAGGCCGGGCCTGGCTGGCGACGCGCACCGTAGACTTGGTGCGAGTGGTAGGAACAGGCCGGGCCGGGCTGGCGACGCGCACCGTAGACTTGGTGCGAGTGGTAGGAACAGGCAGGGCCGGGCTGGCGACGCGCACCGTAGACTTGGTGCGAGTGGCAGGAACAGGCCGGGCCGGGCTGGCGACGCGCACCGTAGACTTGGTGCGAGTGGCAGGAACAGGCCGGGCCGGGCTGGCGACGCACACCGTAGGCTTGGTGCGTGGAGCAGGGACAGGCCGGACTGGGCTGGCGACGCACACCGTAGGCTTGGTGCGTAGAGCAGGGACAGGCCGGACTGGGCTGGCGACGCACCCCGTAGGCTCGGTGCGTAGAGCAGGGACAGGCCGGGCTGGGCTGGCGACGCACACCGTAGGCTTGGTGCGTAGAGCAGGGACAGGCCGGGCTGGGCTGGCGACGCACACCGTAGGCTTGGTGCGTGGAGCAGGGACAGGCCGGACCGGGCTGGCGACGCACCCCGTAGGCTCGGTGCGTAGAGCAGGGACAGGCCGGGCTGGGCTGGCGACGCACACCGTAGGCTTGGTGCGTGGAGCAGGGACAGGCCGGGCTGGGCTGTCGACGCACACCGTAGGCTTGGTGCGTGGAGCAGGGACAGGCCGGGCTGGGCTGTCGACGCACACCGTAGGCTTGGTGCGTGGAGCAGGGACAGGCCGGACCGGGCTGGCGACGCACACCGTAGGCTTGGTGTGTGGAGCAGGGACTGGCCGGACTGGGCTGGCGACGCACACCGTAGGCTTGGTGCGTGGAGCAGGGACAGGCCGAACCGGGCTGTGGAGACGGATAGGAGACCTGGAGTGAAGAGCGGCCACAACCCGTCCTGGCTGAATGCCTACCCTCACACACTCTGTGTGAGGCATCCGCACAGGACGTACAGGGCGGTGTATCCGTAACCTGGTGGCCTTCTGAATCCGCCCCTTTTCTGCCTCCGTCAGCCCCGTCGTCCATGCCGTGTGCCCCCCCCTAAAAAATTTCTGGGGTTGCCTCTCGCCTGTCCGACGTAGACCCGTTTGGCGCCGCTGTTCCTCTCTCCGTCGCCTCTCCACTGTCTCACTCCATGGCCGGCGATCCATCCCGGCCAGGATTTCCTCCCAAGTCCAGGACCCTTTACCGTCCATTATCTCCTCCCATGTCCAGGCTGCCTGCTCCTCTCTACGGTGCGCCTCCACCGTCTCTTCTCCCGGCGCTTCCTCCCATGTCCAGCCCAAGAGCTGCCCCTGGACACGCTGCTTGGTCGTTGCATGGTGGGTTCTTCTGTCAAGATCGTCGTAATGAACAGACCAATGCGCAGCGTGTTGAACGAACATAGTGAACTTTATTATCTTTAGTGATAATCGACACAATAAACAAAACAAGAAACGACTCGTGAAGTCCACGGTAACAATGACCGAACACGGAACAAGAACCCACAAACACAAAGGGCAAATAGACAGTATAAATATGGCTCCCAATCAGAGACAACCAACGAC